AGTGAATAAGAGAGTAAAGGAAGAGAATATTCTTCCTGGAAACCCAGGGAGTAACATAAATAACCATCTGCCTGGAATAGTTTACAGAATGCTTCTGCCAATGGAATGGTCAAAGTAACCTTGGGCTTTATTCCAGTTCAGTGGTTTCTGGCTCTTCAGCAAAATAGAAGATGAGGCAGGGCTCAAACTTAAGAATGCAGAGCCAATCATTCTGTGAGGCTTACCCTGAAATCTCTCTGGAGAAACACCACCTGTCCATATCTGACTGGTACTGGAAGCTAATTATATCTCCGACTTTCTTGATTTTCATATGCATTTGATGTTTTCCTCAAATTTATGGCATCGTGCCATCTGAGTTATGTTATGATACATATACAGTAACCATATAACATTTAGTATGGATTTTTTTAAAGTAATCCTTGATGCATATGCCAGGACTCATGTATAATTTTCAATATTTCTTGATATCCCTATAATGTTAAGTGACTTCCCAGGAGTCAATGTTTCCATAATGTTCCCCAGTTCCTCTGGGCCCTTTAGGGAGATGAGCCATAAAGCTCAGAAGCCAGTACACTGGGGCTATAACTGCTGGCCAGCAGCCTGAGATTGTACACGCTGCCAACTAGCTTACCCAAGGCCAGCTGGCAGATCGAGATGTGGGGACAGATGCATCTTATAAATGGACATCTGTGGAAAGGCTGTACTCCAGGTCTTCCAGGTTGGCTTACAATCAAAGGGAACATTCTTTTTCAATGATGGGAAATACAACCTAACCAAGGATGTGATAACCCAGTTGCCATTAAAAAAAAAAAAAAAAACAGAATATACCATTGACTGAGATATTACATGAGTCAAAGCTACAAACTTTCAACCATGTGAATTTAACAGGAAAAAAATCCTATTAGAATAGTGATTTTGTTTTATCTTTCCTTCATCTAAAGGATCAAAGCAATAATTAGAATGAACTACAGGAAAAAAAGATTACTTTCATTACTTTGTGTTGCTCCCAAAATAGCCAACACTATACGTGTGTATTTGTATACTTTCACAAGCGAAAATGTTTGCATATGTGTCTGTATATGTAAATGAATATATGCATAAGAATTCAAACATATAAACACATAAACATGCATATATGTGTGTGTGTAAAGAGAGAGAGAAAGAATATACAGGCATAAAATATCAGAGATAAAATCCCAGCTTGTTTAAGTTTTTAAGTTTTAACTATGTCTCTGACAGCTTTCTCTCTGAGATTGATAATATTCCTATGAGAGGTTACTCTTTGCAGAGAAAATTTTCAAGAAGACAAGTAGGTCCCATAGGATAGAACTATTTCCACAGGAAACCAATCCATCAATATACTTAGAGGACAAAAATAAACATACATAGAATGCTGTGATAAATATAAGTATGAAAAGCCATGAACTAAACAAAGTCAGTCTGAGTCCTTTACTGCCACATTTCACAAAGGCTTCTCTCTCTCTCTCTCTCACGTGTGTGTATGTGTGTGTGTGGGGGGGGTATTCTAAATATCCACAATAAGGCTGTAGTATGCAGTAGTGTCCCTAATTTATCTGATCAAGACTACATCACAAAACATTGAGCAAATGCTGTCCTGATCAATAGAAGATGGGAATGTTTAAGAATTAAACATTTCTCTTCACCTATCTTATAGGTGGAATAGGCTCTAACATAGCAAACAGGGCTATGATTTTACAAGTCTGACTCTGGAACATGACGATCAACAATGGATTAATACAGACGTGTGAACAACTGAAAAATCAGTATACATAAAAATGATATTGATAAAATTCATTCAGAAGGATTGCTAGTCCTTCAGACAAGTAATATTTGAAAATAACATAATATATGCAAACATTTTTTGAAAGTATGCAGATTTTCAAAAGCTTCAATGTTTGGCCACACTAAAATATAGATATAGAACAGTCGAGTGGACATGTGTTCATGCATATAAGAAATACTTCAAACTATTTTAGAACTTACTATATCTGGAATTATCTGTTTTCCCTTGGGCAGAAACAAATTAAATAGTACAGAGTCCATGTATGGCAGAATATCAAAGAATAGCAGAGTTGTCAAACTGGGAGTACGAGAAGGAAACATAAGCAAATCAAAATTATGTGTTTTGATAGGTTCCATGGTAGATACATGCACAGATTACTCTGAGAATAGACAGAGATGGAAAACTCATTTTGCCATGGATACTAGGAAATACATCAGAGGAAGCTGACATGAATATTGAGTTCTAATAGGTAATTAGAAACATTCCTGGAAAATAATGTAACTGTAAAGTAGACCAAGCAGTGGAACATAGAATGAAGGTACAATTTGTCAAAGGACAAAGACATTCATGGATTCTTAAATAGACAGATATTCCCAGAACATTGGCTGTGTCCAAAGAGACAAAAGGAGAAGAATTGAACACTACAGAATAGTAAATGCCAAGTAGGATAAAACTAAAGTTATATATAGATGCAAGTAGGGAAACCGGTTTAAGAACTACTATAAAATGCCAGGTAAGTAATGAAAAAAGTCTGAAACAATATAGTAGGAATGTGTGGAGAAAGAATATATATATATATATATATATATATATATATATATATATATATTCAGAAGGCAGAATATGGAGACGATGTGATGTTCATCTGTGCTTGCTACAGATGTCCTCTTTTTGAAATGCAAATGGTTTTTCAGTAAATAACATTGTCAGGAAAACTAAGACAAACCACCTATCAGATGGTTCAGAGGCAATAGAGAGCTATGACGACCCAGAAGCTTAAGCTAGATCCCTAGAACATCCCCTTTCACAAAATGTAAACTCTAAATAAGAACACATTGAGGGTCCTCCCTGGTGGTGCAACAGTTTAAGTCTCAGCATTATGAAGCTATCAGCAGCCACTGCAGCACGAGTTCGATACCAGTCCAGGTTGCTAACAGACATAGCTCAGCAGACCTCTCCTGTCTCACCTGCTGCTGCTCCCCTCAGCAGTGAATTTCAGCAGATCTGCCTGTTCAGCTCCCCATTCTGTCTCTTGTGAATCCTTTCATCTCCCCGCACATCTGACCTATACCCCAACTCTTGTATGCTTATATAAACAAATCTTTAAAAAAAACACATTTGAAAGAAAAATCTGAGTTGAATTATGTACATCTTAAGTTTGATATTTATTGATTTATTGACTTTTCTTGCATCAACTAAGTTGTAATATCCAGTGTTTCTATGTGCAAATAATGCAGTAGGTGAAAGAGATCTCAGGGAAACAATCCCATTTACAACTGCATCAAAAAGAATTAAATACATTGCAATAAATTTAATCAAAATGTGGAAAACCTAGATGCTAAAAAGTATAAGACATTATTGAAAGAAGTAGAAGACGCAAGTTGGAAAGATATTCCCTGCTAATAGATCGGAAGAATGACCATCACTGAAATGACTCTATTACTAAAGCAATAGCAGATTCAGTGTAATCTCTATATAAAAATAAACTAATAACATTCTCCACAGATAGAACCAAAATCATGAAATTTACTTACAACTACAAACACCCCAAGTAACTAAAACAATCCTGAGAATAAAAAACAAAAATGGAGGTATCCTACAACTTGACTTCAAACTACACTACAAAGTGATAGCAGTTAAAACAACAAGGTATTGGAATAATAACTGACACAGATCAATGAACACAATGAAGAGCCCAGAAATAAAACCACACATATGAAATTAATTTACAACAAAGGAGCCCAGAGCCTACAATGGAGTAAGGAATTCCTCTTTAATTAATGGTATTGGGGAATTGGACAACTACATATAATGGAATTAAACTACACAACTACCTAAAAGCCATAAACAAAAATTAATTAAAAAAAGGTTAAAGACTTTCATGTAAGACCTGAACTCATAAAATATATAGAAAGGAACATAGGCAAAATGCTGATTGATATTGGCTTTCAATATGTCTTTGGACACTTGACTCTAACAGCAAGGGGAAAAAAAAACCAAAAATAAACAAATGGGATTATAGCAAACCAAAAATTTTCTGCACATCAAAGAAATTGTCATCAAAACAAAAAGGTATCTTAATGAATGAGAAAATATATTTTCAAATCACAGATCTGATGAGCGTTAGTATCCAAAATATAAATATAAAGAACTATAAGCATAAAGAACTAAAAAAAAATTCAACAACATAAAACAATCCAAGAAAAAATATAGGCAAGGACATGAATAGACACTTCTCTGAAGACAACATAAAGAAAGCCAAAGGTTTCAAAACACATGAGATATTCATCACCTCTTAGTGAAATAAGACAAAGCAAGACAAATTTCATATAATTTCATTCATACTATTAGAGGTGATCCTATTGTAAACCAAATGAAAGAACAAAATAAAACAATAACAAAGTTTTAGACTATCAGACAAAATTAATGTTTACTGGAAGGGAAGGGAGAAGTGGAGTGGGTAAAGTAGACAAAAGGGGTCAATCATGTGGTGAAGGATAGAATTGCCCTTTTAATGATGAACTTAATATCATATAGGTAGACACAGATCTATAACTATGCAAAAGGGAAATTTGGATAATGTTCTAATGTGACGTTGCTTTCATAAAAATTTAAAATAATATGTTTAACACAGAAATTGAGATCTATATTTCAGCAGAATTGTGATTCTGAAATTATCTGATAGTGCATATAGATACAGCCATTGAAGATTTATGGCAGGATGAGTTGTAGGGGAAAGTGTGAAGTGTAGAGGCATCATTTTGCAACACTTTTGACTGCATTATTTTGTTTGTTTTTTTAATGCTTGAAGTAATTTGTAACAAAATATAGTTTCAGGTCTACAACATCATATTTCAACATCTGTATGTGCTTACACTATGATCTCCATTAAAAGTCTAATTTTTCCATTATCCCCTTTACCATCTCCCAGTCTCCTTTTTTCTCTGGAAATGACCATTTTGTTCTCAAAATCTAAAACACTATGGAATGCTTCATGAATCTTCACATCATTCTTGCATAGGATCATGGTAATTTTCTCTGCATGCTTCCAATTTTAGCACATGTGCACCTTCTTCCCAGTTGTGTTTGGATAACCCTGTCCTCCTCCTCAGAGCCTTGTGCTTGCCTAAGCAATGAGCAGTTTAGGAATGACCATGTAATTAATTTTTAATCAATGAACTTGAAGAAGAACCTGTGATTTTTTTTTTTTTTTTTTTGCAGGGGGAGTTATAGGAAATGTTGGTGCTGATTATTGAAATGTGTCTTCACTACAAAAAAGAGACAGAAAGGAAGAGGTGAAAGTTAAATAAGACATTTTCAATTCTTCCCAAAAAAAAAGGTTATATATATTCATTTTGGAACATACATCTAATTAGTAGTTTTAATATTTTCTTTTTTAAGCAAGTGTGCTTCTTTTTTTGAACAAATGTGCTTGCATTATATGCTGTGAATATATATGAGAGGGGGGGTAGAGATTAATGACCTGTATATAACTCTTACATTTATTCAAAAAGTATTGATACTCATACTATAACCTTCATACCAGACATGAAGTAAGTGATTGTTACACAAAGAATTACTATGTTATCTTAATCCAGTAAGAGGAAAACTACAAGTTCAAATAGTTATAGTACAGTGGGACTGTTGGAAAGTAAAGAGTCAGGGGAATAGAACACCAGTGTTTACACATAATTTCTCAGTTAATTATTATGCTATATTTTATAGAGGTCAAAATAAAAAATGTGTTGGTTAACTTTCCCTACATGACTTAATATTAAACAGCTACCTTTGGATTATACTTCAGGGTTCTCTCATCAAAAAGAAAATAATTTAAGATACTCAAGAAAATATTAGAGGCTTTAGTTGGCTTTCATGTGCATAATAAGGTTCTGAAAATCCAGTGCTTTCCAAGTAGAAAAAGGTTGTAATTTTATAGAATAAGGAGAAAAGAAGAATACTTATCTTGGTAATGGTTCAGACAGTAGCTTTCATCTTTAATAGTTCAAAAACTTGTTGTAATATTTGGACACTGGGCATTATTCTAGTGTTTTCATACTTCTTCTCTGGTATTACTGATATAATCTCATTATGATCATTGACAGAATTACAGAATACTTGTTTCAAGAGCTTTTACTTTTCTCCTCCCCACCTCCATCTCCATGTCTTTCTCTCTTCTATAAAGCATTACAGTTTATCAAAATCAGAGGCAGCGAGGGATAGTTGCCATTTTTTTTAATATGGCGAAAGACAAATGAAAAATTAAAAATGAAGGAGGGTTGAACTCATGGGAAAGTGGGACCCCTCTCTCATGTTTATTTTGCAGTTCAACACCCAAATATCCATTCTGACAGTTTTCTGCCACAGTTCTCTGACATTAGGCCTCGGATTGTAGAATGTGCATGGCAAATGGAGAGGCAGCAGCAAATAATTGTCTTAGAAAGATGGTTCCAGCTTTATAGAGGAGATAATACAGGGCTTAAGGCTATAGAGATAAGTGGTGGTCATCCGCTAGACAAAGTGGAGGCACAGGAACATCAACTAGCCTGGAATCTTAGGGGAAGAGTTCTGAAATCACAAGCAGAGAAGGAAATAGCATAGAATGACAGAAAATGGGGACAGAAATATTATTTGGAATCTCTGAAACAGAACATGACAGAAATGAAGAATAGAGGCATACTTGGGTATTCATTTTCTGATCAGAGTCAGGTTTAATATGTGACTTAAAATCCATTGCTCCAGGCAGCCAGCAAAGGGCCAATACAAATTTAGAAGCAATCCATTCCAAGGGTAATCTGAAAACGGACATATTATAGCTAAAGATATCAGAAGAAAGAAAAATAACCGATGGGAGACAGGTTCAATGAGAGGTTTACTCCTACAAATTCTTCTGATGTTTGAAAAACTGTTTAATGTCATGATAAGCCACACAGATATTTCAATCCTGAATTGATTCTGGGATATCAGCATTGGCATTAACAGCTGTATGACATTAGGTAAGGTATTTAAGTATAGGGAAATCACATAACCCATAAAGTTGTTATGAAGATAGTCTGATTTAATATACTTAAAATTCTTAAAATATTATTGGGTGAATAATATCTGTTGTCTATTATTTATTTATCAAGTGATCATATTTGGCGGAGAGAAGTGATTCTCAGAGAGTACTTCTCAGATCAGAAACATCAGTGTCCCTTGGGAATAGTTAGAAAATGGGTACTACCCCAGAGTTAAGGCATCAAAAATTGCAAGGTGAAGAGAGCAGCAATGTGAGTTTTAACTTGTCTCTTGGTAATTCAAAAAAAGCTGATGTTGAGAAAAACAGCCTCAAAGTCCCTTCCAGTTTTAACAGGGCTTCAGGAAAGTATAAGCGTTTTTTAGGTAGATTTAAGCAGAAATATGAAAAGACTAATGATGTAATATTATGGCCACAATATTGGTCATATGGAAATACAAACTAAAATGTGTGCTCCTTATTAAATGTCTAGTGATTTGTTGTTTTGGTTAAGCAAGACCTGCTACAAATATCTTTTTTTTTTTTTTCAAAATTCAAATATCCCTTGAGTAAATAAAATTATTAGGCAAACTATTCAACAAATTCAACTTAATACGTAACAAAAACAATTTACAAAGTAATTTTTCAAAATAACTTTAAGATATACACAGGAGAAACATTATTACTTCTATTTTAAAAAAGAGAAAATGAGAGTTAAGAATTTTAAATGAAATGAGCAGAATTATTTCCATGTCTGCAAGCCCTAAACTCAGGTTATTTATTTATTTAATAAAATATTTAAATGTATAGATATTTCATTATTTGGCATAGTTTGTCCTTAATAATTATTAACACATTTTTCTATTAGTTCTTTAATTCCTTAGTATTACCTGAATAATCAATTTTCCTATCTTGGTTGAACAAGTTTAAACAGACACAGATTAATTATATACTTTGAGGTACAGTACTAATACTAGGAACATAAGGACTAACCCTCAATTTCCTTCAAGGGCTTATATTTTGATAAAGAATGCCATACTTTAACGGTAAGAAAGTAAGGAGATTGAGTAGAATGTGTAACTGGAGGTGAGGAAAACAACTACTCCTAATGTTATTGCATTTTCTTGATGTTATCATAGGAAATGTTTGGAACACTTAAACACCAATTATTTACATGATTAATTGACAAAGTTGATTGCCAGCACTGCGATTTGGTTAACATGGAATATAGGATTTTATAGGCAAAACATTGATTGCCTTAATCCCATTGGCTTCTTTATATCGAGTTTATTGAAATTTCATTTTTAGCCCCTGTCAGTAGTTTTAGGTACATTTGGGTACATTTAGTGTTTCCTTAATGCCAAGTATTCTACTGACTACTGCTTTCTTGTTTCTTACAATGATCTGCATATATGCAGGTGACTTTGAGGTATACGGAGCTTTCAGGTTCTAGATTTGATATTGTGTATGATTCTTCTATTGCTATATAGATAATAGATGCTTTTTTATTAGATGATATTCCAAAGCCCTTAAAAATACAACTTTCCCAATGACTAGTTGTATTGACATTTTCAGTGACTCTCTACGTTAGATGTATCTGACTCATGACTGTCATCTATCTGTGTTGAATTGAATTGTTTAACTTGCTCAAATTACTGAATTAATCACCTGGTGAAAAAAAATATTAAGTGTACCAGGGGCCAATTTGATAATTAAAAAAAAAAAAATGCCAGCCCACAGGGCAGATTGAATTAGCAGAAAGAATCCCTCTCTTATTTCATCATAACAGATCTTTATGGTAACTCTATATACCTATAAATTGAAATATCTCACAAATGTTGAAGGGAAATAGATACAGACCTAGAATTCTATAGAATGGTAACTTGTAATACATGATCGAAGAAGAATAAAAATTTCATATTTAAAAGTGCTTTCCAATCAAGAATTCTGGCTTAAAGTTTCCAGTAATAAATATCCATAGAGGAAAATAATTAAGGTATAAAGGTATAAGTGAATAATAAGAACCGGTCATAGACAATAAACTTAGAAAATATTGTGAAATCTAAATAAACATTGGTTGTAAAAGTGGATAATAAATGTCTGGAATTTGAAACTTCAGTTATTTTTATGAAGCTGAATAACCCTGGTATCAAAATCAAGCAAGGACAAGTCTGTTGATGCAAATGTGGACTAGTTCAGTCCCTATAGACAACAGTATGGAGGTTTCACAAAATATTAAAAATAGATCTTCCACATGATCTACAAATTTCACTTATGTGTGTGTACCCAGAGATTATAAAAACACTTATTCAAAGGGATATATGCCTCCCAGTGTTCTATTCAGTAGAACATTGTTCTATGCAGTACTATTCACAACAGCTAAGAGATGGAAACAAGTCAAACACTTGATTATGGATAAATGAATCAAGAAGTACAAAGGAATACACTACTCATCAGATGATCAGTCTTTGTAAACTAATGCACACAGGATGCAAAGACTTCTGCAATAATTCTAATATTTTCATATGTATATACTAGATATCTAAACACATGTATTACAAAGTTGAATTCAATCACCATTAGTCCAGTTGAATGAATGAAAAAAGCCTCAACAATCCACTACAGGAAACATGGAGAGTCCACACGGAAAAAAAAAAAAATACCCAAACCAAGGCCATTTTACTCAAATTAAAAAAAAAAAAAAATGCTCTGCAGCTCATCTTTAAGTCAGCCAACATACAGTGTGTATTTAATATGTAAATAGACAAGGACACAGATACTAACTATGAGGACATGAAAGAGGAAACCAGTCAGAGATTAAAGGCTAATTTAAAAACACATGATGCTGCTTCTGAGTAAACTTCCCTCATATTCCATTTCCCTGGAAATTGCCACTCAGAACTGTTCTAAATCCTATAGAATTTCAAGTCAGATATGGCTATCAATTCCTTATATAGTTCATATTTCATATGTGTGTATACTTATACCATTTATCTACTTATCTTTATGAGTAGATACATGATTTCTGTCATATATAAAATTCCATTTCCTATTCTCCCTTTTTCCTTAAAATGTTAAAATTCATC